TTGTCCTGACCTGAAGAGGGCTTATAGACAGAGAAAAGATCAGAGGAGCCAGACATATGATCGGAGGCACCAGAATCAATAATCCAAGGCAAAGACTTATGACACAGGAAAACACAAGGAGAAGAGGCTAAGTTACCTGAGCGGGCAAAGGACGAGGAAGCTGTACTGAAAGTAGTAGAAGACCGGCGGTCCAACAATTGGCGCAAAGCATCCTCCAGCTCAGTATCAGAAGCTTGGCCTACAGAAGCAGAATTAGAATCAAATGTATCAACTGCACTAGACTGATGGGCCCGAGCTCGGGAATAGGAACCACGTCCTCTAGACTGGCCTGACCGACCTCCTCGAGAACTAGACCGATCACCTCAACCCCCCGGATGGAGTCCCATGAAGCTTCCAACACGTCTCACAAGTATGCCGCGGCTTCTTGCAATAATCACAGAATACAGACTCCTTAGCAGTAGATGGAGGGATGAGAGTCAGGCTGAGGCCATCTCGAGGAGTAGACAGTAATGCTGAGCGGGCAGTAGAGACAGGGGACATCATAGCAGACCGTCGACTCTCCTCATTTTGTATATAGGCAAATGCCTCCTGAAGTGAAGGAAGAGTGTCCATACCCAGAATTCAACCCCTAACTGGATCATACTCCACATTTAGGCTTGCCAGAAATTTAAAGACCCGTTCCCGTGCGATGAACTTCTTGTACCCGACAGAATCAGCAGGGCAAATGGGCTTATAGTCTTCCAGGTGGTCAAGGCGTTTCCAGCCGTTGGTGAGGAAAGTGAAATACTGAAGAATAGTCTGCTCCCCCTGAAGTGAGCTCTCAATAGAGCGGTGCAACTCAATGCCTGTGAGAAATTCCCTTTGCGGGAATAGGTGGCAGCCACAGCATCCCAAACATCTTGGGCAGCCTCCATAGACAAGTAGCCCTCACCAATTTCAGGAACCATCGAATGAATAAGCCAACCCATAATCAAAGAGTTGGTAATCTCCCATTGGTCATAACCCGAGTCAGTGGTACTAGGTGCCTGTATCCTGCCATCAACATACCTCATCTTCCCTCGGCTCTTCAAAAATATAGTCAAACTTTGAGACCATGCTAGGTAGTTCTGACCGTTAAATAGAGAGGTGGTGATTTTCAGACTAGGGTTGGGGTTCTCAGTCATGGTAGTAGGTATAATGAGACTCACTCCTCGGTGTTTGAGAAGGAGGAGACACACTGGTGGAATCTGCCATGCATACTATACTACCTAACCCGCAACAAAACTAGTGGCAATCACAAATCCGGAAGGTGGTGATGAAAGAACAGGCACAATGACCACTATAAAAGCATAACAAAATTAAGAAACCATTTGTTTTTTTTTAGTGTTTTTTTTTTTTTAGTTATTCATTTATATATGTATTGGTACGGTCTATATACACGACATAAGTATACCAAACAGTGATGAGAGTATACCAGAGAGAGATCGACGAAGGCTTGAAGATCGATTGTCGGAGGAGATCGACTGAGGAGGTTGACGGGCTGAGACTGAGGAGGTCGACGAGCTGAGGAGATCGACGGAGGGAGGCGGTTGCGTGACGATCGCGACAGAGGAAGGCGGCTGAGTGACGATCGATTGAGAGATGGCTGAGTGGCGATCGACAGAGGAAGGCGACTGAGTGATGACGGCGACTGAGTGAGGAAGACGAAGCAGAGATCGATGAGAGGAAGGCGATTGAGTGACGACGACGAGCTGAAGATCGCAGCAGATGATCAACTTAGGTAAGTTTCGAACCCTAGAGTCGTTGGTGCAAAGGTCGACCAACAAGGGTGAGCCGAAACCCTAGAGGTTCTGCTTTGATACCATGAAGCTTGAGTAACTAGCTTAGGGTTTGATAGAATATCATTCCCTATTTATAAATGAAGATTAGGATTTACAAGATGAGACAATTACAAGTCGAGCCCTGAGGGCATAGAATAATTACAAACCAAATGAAGCTTAGATAATAATATAATGAAGCTCAGATAATAATATAATATGCTAACACTAAGCACCTTCAAACAATGGCCACTTTGTTTTTCTACCATTATCGACTTTGTGCAGAAGCAGTCAACAATACTGTTTTCATCCTAAACCGGTCTCTAACAAAAGCTCTTGTCAACAAAACTCTCTATAAAACTTGGCACAACCACAAGACGATGGTAAATTTTTTCAAAAGTTTTGGACGCATTTTATATTCCTACGTTCCTTCTCAACATAGGGAAAATTTTGACCAAAGGAGAGACAAATTCATCTTCATTGGCTATTGCGAGGAATCAAAAGGTTATTGGCTTTTTGATCCAAAAACCAACAAATTGGTGACTTCAAGGGATGTGCATTTTGATGAAATGAAAGGATGGGATTGGGAAAATTCCCACGAGATAGAAAAATTCATACATCCAGACCAAGGCGAGCTAAGTTCTTCCTATTCAAATTCACTAGTTCCACAACAAAGACCTTTTGAAGAAAGTGACTCAAACACTAATTCAGAATCGCCTATTAGAAAGGTATGGCCATTAAGAGAAATTTATGATTCATGCAATTTTGCATTTTTTTCTTGTGAGCCACAAAATTTTGAAGAAGTAGCTCAAAATCAAATTTGGCAAAAAGCAATGGATGAAAAGATGTTCACAATTTTCAAAAATCACACTTGGGAGCTTATGGATCATCCTAAACAAAAAGATGTGGTCGGGTTAATATGGACCTACAAAACCAAACTAAATGAAAACAACTTAGTTCAAAAGTACAAAGCTCATCTTGTTGCAAAAGGCTACTGACAACAACCTAGAGCAGATTTCAATGAGACCTTTGCACCAGTTGTTCGAATGGAGACAATCAGAACAGTCCTAGGCCTGGTAGCACAACTGGAATTGCCGGTCCACCAGTTGGATGTAAAGTCAGCATTTTTAAATGAAGATCTTGAAGAAGTAGATGTGGAGCAACCACAAGGCTATGTGGTGGAAGGAAAAGAAGATATGGTCTATTTGGTAAGAAAAGCACTCTATGGCCTAACATAGGCCTCACATGCTAGGAACAATAAGATAGACAAATACTTCCTTCATAGTGGTTTTCAAGAAGTCTTAGTGAGCCATAACTGTATGTGAAAAAGGAAGGTACCAAAGATTTTCATATCGTCTGCCTTTATGTTGATGATTTAATTTTCACAGGCACTAATTCTGTGATGCTAGATGATTTCGAAAAGGCTATAATGAAAGAATATGAAATGACAGATCTTGACCTTATGAAATATTTTCTTGGCATTCAATTGCGACAGGCAAAAGGAGAAATTGTTATTTCTTAAGACAATTACACAAAAGACTTGCTGAACGGATTCAAGATGTCAACATGCAAGCCAATTTCAACAACCATGGAGTGCTAAAAGTCAACCCAACACTGTATCGCAGCCTGGTTGGCTCACTTATGTATCTCACCAACACTAGGCCAGATATTGTCTATCTAGTCAGCATAATTTCCAGATTCATGACTGAACCCAGTCAAATCCATTTTTCCCGCAGTCAAGCGACTACTACAGTCGTTGCAAGGCACAGAAAAATTTGTGATCAAGTATGTGAAGAAAACAACAGTTTTGCTGGATGGTGATTGGGCAGGTTCCAATGACGATAGAAAAAAAAATCTGGATATGTGTTTTGCATGGGTTCAAAAGTAATCTGCTGGTCTTCCAAAAAGTGAAAGACACTGTCTCTCTCATCAGCTGAAGCAGAATAGATTATAGCCACTGATGCTGTTTGTGAAGCTGTATGGCTTAGAAGAATTCTTGCAAATCTACATCAAAAGCAAATGGATCCCACAACAATTTATTGCAACATACCTGTCATTGCCATGACAAAAAAATCTAGTTTTTCATGCTCGAACAAAGCACATTGAATTACGTCATCACTTTATCAGGCATTTGGTTGGTAAAGAAGAAATTCAGTTGGAGTTCGTCAATAATAATGAACAGCTTGTAGACATTTTTACCTAGGCAATGTCATCACAAAAATTGGAGCAATGAGGTGGTACCAATTGATTGGCTTGTAACTTTTTAATGAACAATAAAACGTATTTTGAAATTCATAAATGGTTGTGAAAAAAGAAAGGAATGCTTATGGAGATCCATTTTCTCAAGACTGTATGTTATGCTTGCCCTTGATTTATGTTTTTAGGGGTTTTGAGCAGAGTAAGGAGACGAAGTTGTCTTTCTTTCTCTATCCCTAAGATCACCTTGAAATCATCTAAAGGGCACCACAGTGAAATACTGAAATATTAGACATCTGTTTCCATCCTCAATTGACTTAATCAGTGTCTTCCAAAAAAAAAAATAAGGAAGTGCTATATTGGCAACTAGAAATAGTTTTGATTTGTTAACTGACTTATTACCTTCATTGGTAATATCAGAGTTAGAAACAAACGTGAATTACTCATCTTCAGGCATTGGTTTAGCTATTTTTTTGAATGATTGTAGTGCTTTCAATTATGATTTTGTTAGTGATGACTTGCTTACATCCACATTTTTAGGAAAGGCACTGGACTAGTGGCTTTCGACAAATTCAACCCAGAATCGTTGCTTTCCCGTTAATGAACACATCAAATAAGAAGTGGTTAGGAGTCTGATTCATGACATTGTAAACTATGATCCAGACGACATCAGTGAACTCGCTTCATCTCTACGATTTTAAATTGTTGAAACTTGTCTTTCTTTCCCTTCTTGATGTTTAGATAATGTAAACTGGCCACTTAGTATCTGTTGCAGCAGCAGCTGCAATTATGTCATTCTTTAAGTTATAATGAACTGTAGAGTAGGACCTTGTATATTTAATTTTTTCTCTTAGATATGGAGCTGGAAATTAACAACTAGGTCTTATATGATGAAGTTCTTTCTTATTTGACATTTTACAGTATCGATGTTAATTTATTGGTTTGTTGTTGTAAATAGTTTGATATTAGTTGGATGTTTGCTTTACTTGAGTTTGTTGAGATTTTCAGATGAACTGGATGACGAGGTAGAACCCATTGATTTGTGGGAAGAAGAAGACGATGCTGAGCCTGAGGTATGCTGTTTTGGGATAGTTACTTTGGCTGCTCAATTTAACCTTAGCCATCTCCAGTTCCATTTTAGTTGATATTAGTCATTTGAAAAAGTTTAGATTGGCGATGGAGGGGATGGTGGTGGAGTTGTCCTGCAAAATTGCCCTTGGGGTGAACGTGCTCTATCAATAGCCCATGAAATCCTGCTGCAGTTTGGTGATGATATGAAACTCTATGCTTTTAAGACTACGCCTCGGGGATACATTTATGTGAGACTAGACAAACTTTCAAATGAGTAAGCTTTCTATGCTCCCATGGATACTTGCATCTTTGTTGCATTACAGTTTTACATACTAGATATTGAATTCCCGGAGATTATTCATTTTGTAAATAAAAATAAAGGAAAATTTCCACTTTCCTCTCAAAATTTCCCCTACCCAATTTTGGTGTAGTTTCCTAGCCTCTCACCAGTAGGAATGGCTATGGAGACCCTACCTAGTGGTTACCCATGGAGACTTGACCCAAAATAGACGAGTTTTTCTACCCATCGGGTCAGGTCAGTGGCATGATTTAAAACTCCATTGGGATGGGTGCTCACCCATTTCTCCATACGTTTTGACACCACTTCTACCACCAATTCTAAATTTTTTTAAATAAGTTTATTTTTTAAATAAAAAATATTTTTTTAGAAAAAAATTTAAAATAAGAAAAATTTAAAAAAAAAATATTTTTTTTTAAAAAAAATAAATTGTTTTTTTAAAAGTAAAAAAAATATTAAAAAATTCGGGTTGGGGAAAACCCAAATCTGTTATGGGATGGGAAGGGTAATCCCCATGGTGGATGGGGAAAAATTATAATAGGGGAATGGGGACGGAGAATGAATATCTGTCCCATTGCCCACCATTGCCATCCCTACTCACAAGAGCCCCAATCAACTTTTTCTCCTATTCGAGAAGAATAGAAACCATGGGTAGTCAATCATATTTTTGTATGATCTGCTCTATGCAGCATAAGATTGTGGGACTGTTATCTGACAAATCCTATTTCAAATGTTATGCATATAAAAATTCATCAAAACGTATATCTTAATCATTATTGTCATGAATTTCCTCAAGAATGTGGAGTAACAACATTAAGCATTCATGCAACCATGGCATTTTGTAAGTACTCCACCCATTAAATTAGATTGAACCTTGTTGCTTGGTGATGTCAATTGGAAGAACCTATTATTACTAATAATTCGACGCTAAAATTCCATGATTTTATTAGTTAATTTTCATTTCATGAAATATTGTAGTCATCCTGAAGCATCACAGTTGCAATATTATTTCTCTTTTGGCTTTCGTTTCATTTTGTTTGAAGCACCACCATCTTTCATCAGATATGGTTGTCCCAGTGTGGAGGAAATTGAGAGTTACAGCCACCAATACATAAAAAGATTAGACGAAGTTGGGGCATTGGGAGAAATACCTGGTGATTTGGCTCTTGAGGTAAAACTTATTTTAAGGTTCTCATTGCTTCTTCAATATTGGAGGGTAGTATTGCAAACGAACTGATCTGCTCATGAAGAGCTCAGCTGATTTGAGCTTGGCGCGTTTACTAAATGAATGAGTTCAAACTTGATTTTTAGGCTCATGAATAGAAGGAATACGAATTAATATTTATTTTTAATAATTTATTAAATATATTTTATTTCTGTCTGTATGTTTGATGATTGTGTAAATTTACATATTTGATTGATGGAATTTATTGTTAATATGAACATTCTTTTTATATTTTACTCATAATTTTCCCCCCTTTTCTCTAAATATGCAATTTAATTTAAGTTTGATTTTTCCTTTGAGTTCAAGTTTGGCTTGCTTATGTAATTGAGTCCAAGCTCGAGTTTCTCAAATACTTGACGTGCCGAGATTGAGCTTGATTTTTTAAGCTCGACTTTAGCCCAAGTTCTACTAATTTTTAACAAACCAAGCTCAAACACTCCAATGCTCTGCTTGGCTCATTTGTGGTCCTAATTGCTGGGATGCATGCACATTCCTATTATTATACAAGTGATATAATGAAATCTTCCATGAAGCACTTAGATATTTAAAGAAAAAATATTTATTTATTTATTTATTTTGAAGGTGTCATCTCCCAGTGCAGAGCGGTTACTGAAAGTTCCAGATGACATGAATCGATTCAAAGACATGCCTATGAGAGTAAGCTATGTAGAAGATCTAGAATCTAAATGTCCGGAAAAAAATGGAGTATTTTACTTGGACTCGATTAAAACTGAATCAGGGAGCTGCGTATGGAGGCTGGCAGGTGTGAAGGAAAACGGAGACCCGTCAGCAAAAGGAAGACCGTTAAGCTGTAAACAGAAGGATTGGAGATTAGAACTGCCATATGCTATGTTTAAAAAGGTTACTCTGTTTCTTGATTACTGATTCGTATTTTATGTTTCAGAACTGTCATGCATGGCCTCAAGAGCCTACTGATACATTTTTGACTTTTGGAATATAGTAGTTGAAAAGGGTTGAAATTAGAAATTAATATTTGGTTAGAAAATGATGAATGAGCATTATCGGAGTGACAACTTAGTCTTTTGTACTCTTTGTTTCTAAATTTTTTTTTGTTGACTTTTTAACATTGTAACCACGCAATGACACCTAAAGTCACTCTTACCTTTATTGGTGCCTGTCAATCAAGTACCGAAAGGGTTGGGTTGGGTTGGGTTGGGTTGGGTTGGATGTAGGGGCTAACCTATATTTGCAACAGAGAAGCTACCCTCGAACATGCATTCTAACAGAGGGTGAAATTGAAGGCTCTGTTTGATTGTGAATTCAAAATATAATTTCACAGGTGTATTTCAGTATGATGTTTGGTTGTGTGTTTGGAATCAACTTTCCAAATCTCTGCAGAGAGCTCTGTATTACAGCCGCGTTTTTTGTGAAAATTTTGGCCAGGGGAAGACCACCCGGATGTCTTTAGGGACTACCGCCCGGACGTCCTTGGGGACATCCACCCGGATGTCCTCTGCTGTACAGGATTTTTTTTTTTTTTTTTTTTTTTTTTTTTTTTTTTTTAATTGGAAAAAAAAAATTTTAAAATTTTTTTATTTTTTTATTTTTTTTAAAAGTTATGATTCAATGTGTTATTCTTTGTTATGACTTATAGTAGTGCTTTTTTATTATAACTTAAGTTTTATTTTTTTATTATTTATGACGCTGTGGATTTGATTGTGACTATATTAGTTATGATCTATTTTAATTATGGTTCACACTTAAAAATGATATTGGTTATTGAAATGTTATTTATCGTCAAATTTATTTTAATATTTTGTAAAACCTCCTATGTATATTGATGCAATTAAAGCATGTGTATGCGTAGGAAAATGATAGAATCATGTCAACCAAAATTTTGGTTTTCAGTCTATTGTTTATAACATTCACTTTGTTTTTATTTTAAAAACTTCTACACCGATACAAACCAAACCAACCAAAATATTATATTTGAGTACTTTTATATTTTAAATTTTGAGCATTAGAAGTTAAATGACTAATATAATACATTTTTTGTGATAAAAACAAGTGAGAACAACATTTATAGAGCAATTCTCATACTTTTTCTTCATTTATTCTCAATTTTTTTATAAAACCTTTTAAGAAAATACTAATCATACAAAAATTATTACAATAATGATGTAGTAATGCCATTTTGGTAAATAAATTTTATCTTTGTGAGTGTTTTATTTTAAAGTGAATGATCTATATTAAACTACATCGTTATGTATAAAAATTTTATTTGAATTTTTTATTTGTTTATCATTACTCAACCTTTTAACATCTCAAGTAAATCTCTCCACTAAACCAAAACGACAAAATCCAAAAAATCGAATCGTAAAATACGATCTGCGTTGATCGAATCAAACTATTTACACCCCTGATACAGACAATGCCTCATAGTGTTTCAGATGAATAATTATTATTTTTTTTAGGTGTGTGCCAAAGCATAATCCATACAAATAAATGATTACATATTATAAATTCTTTCGCAATTGCAATAAGTAAAGTGATAGTGGTAATCATCATTGCTTAAACCATTAAAAAAACTATAGGGGAAAGTTACAAAACCTACTTTCGATTTGAGCCTTATAATAAAATAAATTTTAAATTTTCATTTTTATTAATTTAAATTCTAATTTTGAGATTTATTTTCAATCTAATTAATCATTATTGTCATGAATTTCCTCAAGAATGTGGAGTAACAACATTAAGCATTCATGCAACCATGGCATTTTGTAAGTACTCCACCCATTAAATTAGATTGAACCTTGTTGCTTGGTGATGTCAATTGGAAGAACCTATTATTACTAATAATTCGACGCTAAAATTCCATGATTTTATTAGTTAATTTTCATTTCATGAAATATTGTAGTCATCCTGAAGCATCACAGTTGCAATATTATTTCTCTTTTGGCTTTCGTTTCATTTTGTTTGAAGCACCACCATCTTTCATCAGATATGGTTGTCCCAGTGTGGAGGAAATTGAGAGTTACAGCCACCAATACAAAAAAAGATTAGACGAAGTTGGGGCATTGGGAGAAATACCTGATGATTTGGCTCTTGAGGTAAAACTTATTTTAAGGTTCTCATTGCTTCTTCAATATTGGAGGGTAGTATTGCGAACGAACTGATCTGCTCATGAAGAGCTCAGCTGATTTGAGCTTGGCGCGTTTACTAAATGAATGAGTTCAAACTCGATTTTTAGGCTCGTGAATACAAGGAATACGAATTAATATTTATTTTTAATAATTTATTAAATATATTTTATTTCTCTCTGTATGTTTGATGATTGTGTAAATTTACATATTTGATTGATGGAATTTATTGTTAATATGAACATTCTTTTTATATTTTACTCATAATTTTCCCCCCTTTTCTCTTAATATGCAATTTAGTTTAAGTTTGATTTTTCCTTTGAGTTCAAGTTTGGCTTGCTTATGTAATTGAGTCCAAGCTCGAATTTCTCAAATACTTGACGTGCCGAGATTGAGCTTGATTTTTTAAGCTCGACTTTAGCCCAAGTTCTACTAATTTTTAACAAACCGAGCTCAAACACTCCAATGCTCTGCTTGGCTCATTTGTGGTCCTAATTGCTGGGATACATGCACATTCCTATTATTATACAAGTGATATAAAGAAATCTTCCATGAAGCACTTAGATATTTAAAGAAAAAATATTTATTTATTTATTTATTTTGAAGGTGTATCTCCCAGTGCAGAGCGGTTACTGAAAGTTCCAGATGACATGAATCGATTCAAAGACATGCCTATGAGAGTAAGCTATGTAGAAGATCTAGAATCTAAATGTCCGGAAAAAAATGGAGTATTTTACTTGGACTCGATTAAAACTGAATCAGGGAGCTGCGTATGGAGGCTGGCAGGTGTGAAGGAAAACAGAGACCCGTCAGCAAAAGGAAGACCGTTAAGCCGTAAACAGAAGGATTGGAGATTAGAACTGCCATATGCTATGTTAAAAAAGGTTACTCTGTTTCTTGATTACTGATTCGTATTTTATGTTTCAGAACTGTCATGCATGGCCTCAAGAGCCTACTGATACATTTTTGACTTTTGGAATATAGTAGTTGAAAAGGGTTGAAATTAGAAATTAATATTTGGTTAGAAAATGATGAATGAGCATTATCGGAGTGACAACTTAGTCTTTTGTACTCTTTGCTTCTAAATTTTTTTTTGTTGACTTTTTAACATTGTAACCACGCAATGACACCTAAAGTCACTCTTACCTTTATCGGTGCCTGTCAATCAAGTACCGAAAGGGTTGGGTTGGGTTGGGTTGGATGTAGAGGCTAACCTATATTTGCAACAGAGAAGCTACCCTCGAACATGCATTCTAACATTCAGCAGCACCTTGTTAACAGAGGGTGAAATTGAAGTTTTTCATATGATTGACATTCCTTCCTGCAAGTGGTCCCTCCATAGCTGGTGGCCTGTGGAAATTGTTTATAAATTTATTATATCAGCAGGATCGGCTCTGTTTTTTTCGGGGCTCAAAGCAAATTTTTAATATGAGGTCTCTTATACATACATACATATACATAAATGTCCAAAAGCAGAATTTTAATATGAACCGATTTGTTTTTTTTGTTGACAGAATTCAACTAGTTGATAATTCAAATTTTATTTAAATTTTTTAAACTTTTGCATTTTTAACTATAAATTTACTAACCAAGTTTGTTTTATCCAATTTATTAACCAATCTCATTTAATCATGTCACTGAATGTATGATTTAATTAATTTCAAATTTGTTCTAAAGATACCAGTTGCAATTGCTCCAAGCTAGCGAGATGCATCTTCGGTTGCTGATCACTTGGATTTTTTCTTTAAACTGTGTTTGGACTATAAATTTGGATAAAGATTTAAAAATAACGCATGAGAATATCAAAATTGATTGAAAGTAGAATGGATTACTCCCTAGATTTTTACAACTCAATTTCATCCATAGCTCCTCCTGCACAAGTTATTAGTCATAATAATAGTAATACAACACTACAAATTTCGATTTATTAACCCAAAATTTATTCAGAAAAATGAATTAATCGTTTAAATTTATTTTACTCATGGACTCCACATTTTATCAATTTAATCTCCACCATACAAACACATTCATAATAAATTATGAACTGATAAGGGTAAGTTCATAATATATTTTATAGTAGTAAGTTACGGTATTAATGCACGCCCTCTCTCATTCATTTGTGGTTGCATGTACCTCTTGAACAATTTTAGCTTAACAACAATTGAACATGTTATTTTATTTATTTATGTATTTATTTTTTTAGTGTATGGGTTTATTGGCAAACATAGCAGTTACCCTAGATTTAGGAATTACTTTTAAAAAAAATATATTTATATTCCTGAAAGGGTTTTATATTCCCACATAGATTTAGTAATTACTTTGTACTGTTTTTATTTTTTATTTTATGAGAAAAGAAAATTTATTTTTATAGTTGAAGGTAATATCGTCTTTTAAATTATAATTGTTATTTCAAAAGTTTTAAAATTAAGAGTTTTTTTTTTTAAAAAAAAATTATTTTAGAAATATTATATTATTTACAACACAAATATATATTCTAACTTAGAAGAGGAGAATGAAATTCGAACTCAAATCCCGAGTTTGGGGGTCCTCATACCACATAAGCCACCCTTTTGTTTTAAAATGGAATTTCTGTAGCTTTATTGCTTTGGTTCGGTCAATGCTTTAGCCAATTTGGCTAGGCAATTTCAATCCGGTCCAATGGGGATTCGATTCCCGACCTCGAATTGAACTATTTTTTTTTGAAAAATATTCCTGACGGACCGGAGATGGTATTTAAAAACAAATCTCCAATGATATTCAGGCCGGGGACGGGGATACATTTTCCAACCCCGACCCCGGCCCCGGCCCCGCCCTGTTCAGCCCCCGACCTTGTTTATATATATATAAATATATGAGTGTTGTGTGTTCTGAACAGTGTTCATATATATAAATATATATATGTGTGTTGTGTGTTACACAGTGGCCTACTCACTCTCTCTCTCACTCTCACACACACAACTGAAGCTCCATCATCGCCGGCTCCTTTCGTCTCACCGGCAGCTCTCTCACCGCCGCTCCTCTCGTCTCACCGGCAGCTCCCTCACCGTCGGCTTCTTCTCTCCTTCTCACGGTATCTCCGTCTCTCTCTCTCTATCACAGATCTCTCCTCTCTTTCTCACACGGATCTTCTCTCTCTCTCTCTTCCTCTCTTGTTTTTGGCTTTTGTTCTTCAGATCTGGAAAATGATGGCGATGAAGATGAAGATGTTGCTTTCAGATTTGTTGGTGATGAAGATCGTTTTCTGATGAAGATGAAAATGATCTCCTCTCTCTCTCTCACACGGATTTTTTTTTTTTGATGTTTTTGATGTTCTTGATGGTGACGAAGATCTGTTCTTGATGCTACTTTTTTTATGTTGTTGAGATGATTTTTTTTTTTTTTTTTTTTTTTTTTTTTTTGTTTTTTCAGAAATTTTTGTTTTTATGTTCTTTAATGGTGAAAAGTAGCACGGAAAAAAAATGTTAGAAATTTCACTGGTGGAGGTGGAGATGGTTCGTGGTGAAGTTTCTTGTTCAGTAGAGAAATTTTTAATAGAGAAGATGTTGCAATTCTTTGTTCAATAACTAATTTTCTAGGTTCAGTCTTCTGCCATCGGGGATCGGGGACGGGGAGGGTGATCCCTGGCCCCGTCCCGCTCCGTTGCCATTCCTAAATTTGGCCTACTTTAACATGATAATTTCTCATTTAGGCCAAGTTTCGGAAGTAGTTTTTTTTTTTTTTGATTTTTTAGTTATTTGATTATTTTAATAGGTTATTTTAATTTTTGTGTTAGGGAAGTTGGGTTGAATTTTTTGATTGGTTATTCTATTAAAAAATGTATTTGAAATGATGTTTGAAGCTGAAATGACAAATTTATTCATAACCTCACTTTTTTTTCAAAATTGGTCTAAAGGGACAAAATTTTCATTTACTACCTATGGAATAGGTTGCCAATGTGATAGTGGTAGGCTGTCCCTAATCTCACTTCTTTTTTTTTTTTTTTAAAAAAAATATAAATTAGTGACTTAGGCTACTGTTTAAGACTATTTAACTTTTTTAGGGTTTAAGGCTATTTTAGCCCCAAACAATGGTTCCCAGGGCCTGTAATTAGTTGATATCAATGGTTCACGCAAAGTTTTTGTAACCAATCGGTGATACATTGGCAACTATAATCTATCAATATATTATCTATATTTATAGTATATATTAAGTGAAAAGAGGCTTTTAACCTCAAGTCTTGTGAGAATTCTAATCTCTTAATCTAAATTTCTTGATTTAAAAAAAAAAAAATCTTAGCATTTATTAACATCTCCCAACTCCCAAGTCTTACCTTCATAATAACACTTTAATGCATTAAGAACAAGTTTTAAAAAAAATTCTTTGAAATCCAACATATATGAATTCCTTGAAAAGTCCAAACACATATGATTATTATCCCTCATAATAGTACTTTAATGCATTAAGAACAAATATAAAAAAAATTCTTGAAAAGTCCAACACATATGATTATTATCAAAATATTAAACTTTAATATAATATAATAAAAAAAACACATTTAATTTCTTGAAAAGTCCAACACATATGATTATTATCAAAATATTAAACTTTAATATAATACAAAAAAGGAAAAAAATAAGACATTTTAAAAAAAAATATTTAAAAATCACAATTCACATATATAAATAATTATAAACACAATAAAATAGGAAGGCATTCATGTCTACACGTTTTTTTTATAAGATCTCCTTCATTATAATAAGATAGCACTTTATTTCTCTCATCTTATAATCTATATAAAAAATTTTTTTGAAATCCAACATATATGAATTCCTTGAAAAGTCCCAACACATATGATTATTATCCCTTATAATAACACTTTAATGCATTAAGAACAAACATAAAAAATTTCTTGAAAAGTCCAACACATATGATTGTTATCAAAATATTAAACTTTAATATAATATAATAAAATAAATAAAAAAAAACACATTTAATTCCTTGAAAAGTCTAACACGTATGATTATTATCAAAATAATAAACTTTAATATAATATAAAAAAGGAAAAAAATAAGACATTTAAAAAAAAAAGCATTTAAAAATCACAATTCACATATATAAATAATGTAACACCACAATAAAATAGGAGAGCATTCATGTCTACACATTTTTTTATAAGATCTCTTCCATTATAATAAGATAGCACTTTATTTCTCTCATCTTATAATCTATATATATATATATATATATATTATAAGGAAAATGGAGTTTCTAAATCCAAGCCTTATAGGAGCTCCAATCTCACAACCTTAATTTTCTAAATTTTTTATTTAAAAAAAAACTCAACATTTATTGATTTCGTCAAAATCTCTGATCAGCATTTATTAACTTTTTTCAATCTACATGTCTTTCCACATGTCTGCATTTATTGATTTGATCAAAATCCCTGATCAGTATTTAAAATCCTCCTCATACAAATAATTATAGATACGGCCCGTGTATAGTTATTGCAGTAACCTTTTTTAAAAAAAAACTCAACATTTATTGATTTGATCAAAATCCCCTGATCAATATTTATTAACTTTTTTCAATCTACACGTATTTCACATGTCTGCATTTATTGATTTGATCAAAAATCTTCTGATCAGTATTTAAAATTTTCTCATATAAACAATTATAGATACAGTCCGTGCATAGTTACTGCAGTAACCTTTTAATTTCTCATATACACTATGGTTAGTGATAAAATTGTTAAATTATTTTTATAAAAAATATTTAAAAACATTAATTATATTAAAAAGTTATTAACAAATATAAATATTTATAGTTATCCCGTGCATAGTGTAACACCTTGTATTTTGAGGTATTAATATTTAGGATGAGTGATTGGTGATTATATTTTAATTTAGTGGTGAGATTTTAGATAAAAATTTAATTTTAATTATTTATTTGTATTTATCTCATCTCCTTTGTATCTATCATATTGTTATTTAATAATCAATTACCATTTCCCCTCATGTGAGAAGAATGTGAAAAAAAAAAAAAAAAATACAATTAGAAAGAAGACAAAACCGTGGGCTTTACCACAGTT